TCAGGAGGCGCTACTTCACGGTCAGGGCGGCTAGGATCTGGAACCAACTTCCAAGAGAAGTGGTGCTGGCTTCTACCCTGGGAGTCTTTAAGAGGAGGCCAGATGTACACCTTGCTGGGGTCATTTGACCCTAGTACTCTTTCCTGCCATGGCAGGGGGTCGGACTGGATGATCTGCTCAGGTCCCTTCTGACCCTAGAAACTATGAAACTATGAAACACATAACTTGTTTCGCAGATCAGGGCTGTCCAACTTGTGGCTTGTGGGCTGTATGTGATCTATACAGAGTGCACAGATAGTTAACATGTGGTCTGCAGGCTCCAGCAGCCACCTCTCCTACTGCTGTCTGGTGGGGAAAGGACTAGGGGTCCGTGGGCTGCCTGTGCAGCCCACAGGGTGAAAGGTGGACAGGGAGTGTGTCCTGTCATTTGGGGGCTGGATGCCACAAACACAGCCTGTATGGTGGGAGAGACCCCATGGGGACTTCCAGTTGCACTGAAGTTGGACAGCCCTGCTACAGATAATCAAAGAATGAATGAAAGGAGATGGCTGGTTATATTAAGAAGATCTACCTTGTACATTTTAAATATCTTCTCATTTAGTGTCAAAAGTACATGTAATTAAAGAAAGAATTGCCACCTTTATCCAGTCTGATCCCTGAGTATAATAGTTACCCTTTCCTCCCTGTGGACCATCTATCTAAACCTAAGTTTCTGTGTTCCCTTCCTGCCAGAGCCATCTTTTATGTACCCATGGAAGGAGCCTATGAAAAAAGTTATTGTGGGAGCAGAATCCAGCAGAAATAAATCTGAGACCCAGCAGTGTTTTATTTTAAGATTTTAAGTAAAGTTTCTTTAAGCCTATAAGGGGCAGGGCCACACAAAAGCCTAAACAAGAATGGGTTTGGGGCACCAGCCTTGGTGAGAGATTTGGAAAGTAACTTTTTCTTAAAGGGTTGCCGAAGCATCCAGAAACATTATAATTTGCCCTTACTGTGCCTTTCAAACAATGAGCATAAATGTTGAAGTACTTCCTCTGTGCACCACAACATTTGGTCAGACTGCATGTGACCAACACAGTTTAAAACCACACACTTTTCTGGCAGGCAAAAAACTTTAGCCTCTGCCACCCTAGCCAAGCACCATCCCTGCTCAAACAGATTATACAATATTCACAAAGTGCCAAGAAGTTTGGACAATAACAGATCTGAAAAGCCAGAGCACTCCAAAGGAATGGGGCCCTAATGGAGAACTCTCTCTCAGAAGCTCCTTAGCATCTGTTTATAAGACAAGAACAAGGAGTTGTGTTGTAAACAACAGTAACAGTATAGTATGGGAAACGCGTATTATTCTTTAGCCATTATTTTTAGTTATACTTCCATTCACTCACGAGTCTTTCTACATGGCATGATTCAGTCCTGCATAAAGATACTTTTTTTCATAGATTTCATAGACGTTAGGGCTGGAAGGGACCTCGGAAAAAAGAGTCCAGCCCCCCGCCCAAGAGGCAGGAAGTCAGCAAGGGTTGAAGGATCCCAGGAAGATAAGCATCCAAAATGTTTCTTAAGAGAGTCCAGAGTAAGTGCTTGCACCACCTTTGAAGGGAGTCTATTCTAGGCCTTGGGGGCTTGGACAGTAAAGAAGTTTTTCCTTCTGTCCAGCCTAAAATGGTCTTGGAGGAGTTTGTGACTGTTTGACCTTGTCATCCCTTGGGGTGCTCTGGTGAACAGGTATTGCCCCAGATCCTGATGTACACCCCTTATATACTTATAGGCAGCCACCAGGTCACCCCTGAGCCTGTGCTTTTCCAGGCAGAAGAATCCCATGGCTCTCAGCCTCTCATCATAAGGCCTGTTCTCTGTTCCTCTGATCATGCGCGTGGCTCTCCTCTGGACTCTTTCAAGCTTTTCCACATCCTTTTTGAATTGTGGAGTCCAGAATTGGATAAAGATCTCCAGCTGCAGCCTCACCAAGGAAGCAGCAGAACTGCATTAGCGTAGTGTTCTGTCCTGCTTAATTAATTCTCCTGATTAGTCCCAAGGTGGAAAGCCAGGATAATGTGGTTATACTCCATTCAGCACCTGTGCTAGCTCATTCAGTGCTAACTCAGGTATCTCTTCTCAGCACTAAACTGTGCCATGTAGCCATACCCCTGAATACCATTCCTTCCTCTGTCCCACAGCTGAGGGATGATGAAACTGTAGCTCACAAACTACATTCATCTCCTGACAGTAAAAAAGCATTTAAATAAAAAGTTCTTTTTCTATCTGTTCATTTGTTATTTTCTTCACATATTATTTATTCTAAGAAGTCATTTAATGAGAAGCTATTATTTAAGCAGAAGCTCTGTGCAGAAGTAATTGATTCTGGGGTACATGCATCTCAAAAGCTGTGTGCCCTGCAGCTTTCAGCCATGTTAAGATTTTAGTTTGTGACTACAAGTTTTAGGACATTTGGCCAGTCCTGCTATAGTCTAATTGCAGTAGGGGTGCAGGACAGGAACAGAAATAGTACCCAGTGAATAAATGGAAATAAAAACAGATGAGAAGGTAAGAGGCTTTATTCTTGAAAGCCTCCCCACCAACGATTCCAGGGGGTGCACCTCAAAACTGGTCAGGCTCCACAAATAGATTGAACTTGAGGCATCTATCAGGAGCCTCTATGAATCCTCACTTAGCCTTTCTCCCTGTTTTTCTGGTAGTTCATCTCCACTGGAACCATACTACAAGGGACACTACCACAGAGTCACTGGGGAGTGAGTTTTTTCATTGTTCAGCATTATATGCATTGCAGAGACTAAACACTTCATGCCATTCTTACATGCAGCCACCTCTAGGGTGGACAAGCAAGAACATCATAGAACAGCTTATGACAAAAAAAAAAAAAGAAAAAGAAAATACCCATATCCAATTGAAAATTGCAATAGTAATTTCTAGGTAGGCAGAACAAACTGGAGTTTGTCCAAGGAAATATGGTTCGTGCCTTTATTCTGGTGGAAACTGCCCAGAGAATTTTAAAGCTGTTGGGATTTTGATTTTAATAGCTAATAAGCGTCTTCCCTCTCTACTTAAACACCATAAGTTCAGTAGGGACTTGGAGGGAAGTTTCACCTACTGAACAGCAACAGCAAAAACTTTATTATATTGCTGGTTTTCTTGTAAGCTCTGTCAAAATACTGACCATGCAGGCCAAAAACATGACATTCATTCTCAGTTCAGTAGGGCCACCTAGTGGTATGTGTGATTTTTTTTTCCCTATACTGACCTTTCTTTTTTGATAGCTTACAGATGAGGTATTTTTCAAATTCAATTAAAATTTGACCAATTAGGTTTTTTTGTTTGTTTTTGCTTTATCTCTTTCCCATCTTTTCTCTCCCTCTCTCTTTCCCTCTCTTCCTGGCACATACAGAAGTTTATTGCTGAAGGATCATGTGCAAGTGCCAAACTGCAGGTAGATATCTTTTTTTAACAAATAAAAGTGCATTGAAACATTTGTTTGAAGTGCAATAAAAGTGCATATGTATTAAAACAATACTGACCACACATGAAGAAAAAAGGTTGCTAAAGTCTTAGAATTATTGCAGCTAACTTTAAGACTTTAAGTAATGTAAGAATACACTTAAAAGTACCTTTGATTGGCATTTGAGTCCTTTTCTTCTTCTTTTACAGTAGGCAAACATTCAGATTCAGCTAAGAAATGATAAGAGAAAAAGTCACGCTTACTCATGGCATTCTTTCAGATGTTTCAAAACTGTATTTGCTTTCTGTGCAGTCAATACCCAGTGAAAACTTCAGGGTGCTGGTATATTTTCTTATTTTTAATACTTGCATGTTCATATATTTTTGCATGATATTGTCTATATTCATTCTAAAGTCCTCCTACAATGTGTGTTGTATCCTAGTTACCTTTATTATATTTACTTCTATTTATTGCATATCTATACACACATAAACTGCTTATCATTAACCTTATGTGCCTTTGCCATAAAACAAAACTAGAAGTACTATTTGTTAACTTTTCTATACACAACTTTTTACTATCACATCTATTTTTTCACAGGATTAATATAACAATTGATTCTAGGGGTACATAGAAAAGTTTGGAGAGGTTGGGGGAGGTTAGATCATATTAAAAATGGCCACCTGATTTAACTTACTTCACTCAGGTGCAGACCTTGCACTTACATCTGTAGTTAGGTTAATCTAAGTGCAAACTGTTCAGAAATTCAAGACTGTTAGATTGCTCTAAAAATGGCTGACCCAATCTAGTTTAACCCTACTTCAGTTTAAGTCTAGCTTTGGGTGCCTATACATGAGCAGGGAGGCTGCTCTGACGCACTATAATCCAGTGAATCGGAGCAGACTTGATTAATCATGTCTGCTGGAGTGTGGCAATTACCATGCTCCAGCAGCTTCCCATGTCTTGTGTATTAGTGTGCTTATGCTTTAAAATGGTGGGGGCACTTTATCTAAACCTTGTTCCATGAGCTTTAGATAAAGCGCCCCCGCTGTCATTTTGAAGCATTGGAGTGCTGATACACAAGATGCTTTGGGCAGTTTAATTAGAACAGCTCTCAGAGCCCTGTAATTAAAGCACCCCCTTCCCACTCCTGGAGCACATGTATAAACACCCTTAGATTGGGTTGGGCAAGACTGATTTAACTGAACTTCTGTACAGTTCCCAGCACAGCCCCGGGACTGTGAAAGGCCAACCCTTGTCCCTAGCACTGGGTCTACACTTTCTCTACCTGAGAGAAAGCACAGAGGTTCTTCAGAGAAAAGAAGGTGAGTGGATGATTGAGATGGCCATTATTGGCGGAGCTAAGGTAAAAGCTGATGGCTTGATAAGCTAGTAGATTTGCTAGTCATGGTACATCTAAGTGGTGATGGATTTAAAAGGCAATGATAAACAGCTTATATTTGATATGGTAGATGATAAAGAATGAGCAGAGGGATGCAGAGGAGGAAGGAATGTAGTCATAGTGATAAACACAGAAGATGATTTTGACAGTATTGTTAAGTAATTAGTCTCTTGAGCTATGAGTAAGTAGGGATTTCTCTTAGAATGGCACAATATGCAGCATCATAGAAATTCTGGACACTGAAAGAACCAGAAATTAAAAAAACCCCCACTGATTAGTTTTAAGCTAGACATTTATACTTAAAACATAAATATCGTGCACAGTCATATTTGTGTTTCATAAAAGCTTCTACTGGAAAACTGAAACATTCATTCACTGTATTCTATCTAGAGTATCCCATAATGTGTTAAAAATAAGCACCCACACAGCCTAAAAATACTTTCCAGAACAATCCCACCCCAGACATTCAGCTGTGCAGCTATTTTAGTGTTGTAGACTCAAGATTATGACTGAAAACATTATAGGAAATTTAACAACCCAAATACAAGATAGAAAAACACAGAATTGCTATTTCAGGAAGCCACCTCAGCTAGAGAGCAAGCAATGATGTGGGGGAAGTTGCCAGGTACCATTTTTGTTCATACTATTCATCCATTTATCGAGCTCTTCCATTTCTATTTCCATAACAGAGGGAGTGTCTTCTTCAAAAATAGGACTTGATATAGGAGGGAAAAAAGATGTATTAAATAAAGCATTTCATTCAGACAGGTGCATAATATAGTAGCTTTGAATGTGTCTTTTATAAGCATTAGCATCAGTGGGAATTTCTGGAAACCAGTGCCTGCCCAACAAATTTCCTTTCTGAAGGTGTGCCAGCCCATGGAGCAAAGAAAAATGACCATAGGTTGTAAGTGGAACAAACTAAACCATGCAGCGATAAAACTGGAAAACAAAAGATCTGGTCTTGCCCCCACTGAAATCCCTATGGAACATCCCATTTGCTTCAGTGAGAGCAGGATAGGACCCCATACTGGAAATACTGATTTAACCATGGGGCTGGCTTCAGCAATGATCTCAGAAGGAAAAGATCTAAGTAGAATAATGTGCAGTTCAGGGCTTGCCTCCATGCTGAGTTCAGGACTACTGCTGGAGAAGGGAGGAAGCACTCCACCCATTTACTACCATACTGCATGCACCAAACCCTGGAAATGAAGCTATATAGCCACCTTAGAGTAGCCCTGAAGTCATACCAATAAGAATGCCTGAGACAGAGTCTAAGAACGCCTCTGGCTGGATGGTCAGGGCATTCAGGTGGCTTCATTACCTTCTGTCAGGACCTGGTGCTGAGAGATCTCAGGGAAACAAGAGGAGAGATTTCAGGAAAAGAAGAAGGTAGAAACTGTTAGCTGTGTATGAGAACAGTTTGGCTGCTGCTGCTGCTTCTTTTTTCACAAGGGTAATTTTAGTCTGTAAAAGCCCCAGAAAACTTTTACATCCAATCTAGTAACGAGCAAGCAAATTTGAAAAATAGAGAAAAGAACCAAAGCTGCAGATAGATTTACACTCACAGTTCTGGAATCTTGTCCCATTTTCTATAATCTACCTATTTCCTGTGCGGTCTGCATTTAGAGTTAGATAACCAACTGCGGATGGTACTTACAACAAATGGTGAGGCAATAGGTATGAAGTTGGACCAGAGACAGCATGGCATCTGTATTACACCCCCTGCACCATGCCTCTGTGTAGCTGAACTGAGATAACTGCAAGGAAATCCTGAATTCTTTGTTCTGTGCCTTCCATACGTGCTTTAAGGCATGTTTAAGACCCCAGTTTTAAGGCATCTTTTTGGAACCAGACTTTGTCTCTTTATTTGCCTCCAGAGACAACTAACTGGGTTAATTAATTAAAAAGTGTTGAAGTCTTGAAACTCCAGGACATACAACCAAGTCCATACAGCAAGTTTAAAGCCAGAATATTGAACATGGCCTATTAAGCAAACAAAAGTAGGCTGACAAGTGCTTTTTATAAACTTTACCTTTTGACATTTTCACTTCCCAGTTCATCTGAAAAAGAAGTAAAAATGTTGGTATGCATAGTTAAAAAGTCTCATTTCCTCTTAAGAATCTATGGCTGGGAAAATTCTGCCTTAGAGTTATTTAAAACAAATTCCAGTTTTCAAAAAGTTAAATAGTTAATGTTTAGATTACAACTAAAATTGTATAATTTTAGTATAAAATGGTATAAAATGTTTGATGACTTTTCTTACCTGCCATTTGTAATTTACAGAGACGATTTGGTTCTTAATCAGTAATTTCTTTGAATATATGGGTAGAAGCTGATAATTTAGAAACCCTACTAGTTATTAAAAAAGAAGCCATTTGCTGGACAAAGAAAGGATTGTCCATGAACACAGGTGACTGGCCTGAATGGCTGGAAAGACCTCTTCCACTCTGATGTTCCACGAGCCATAAGATAGTAAGTAACAGAGTGAGGTGTTTGGTTTGAGTCGAAATCAGGAGCTGAAGCCAATGGAACAAAGATGAGTGCAGTGAGAGATCATATTCAGAACATGAGCCAGGCAGTGTACAGGAGACAGCAAACACAGAGCAATGTAAGCCTAATATGTTGGCTCCAGGAAAGTGACAGCCTGCAAGAGCAACAACTGCTATATAAATAGTTTACTGCAATCTTCAAGACAGTCTGATGCAGATTGTCTGCAGTTCCCCTACTTCTGAAAGAAGATCATGGGAGCTGCACATGTGCAGTGCAAGCTCTTTTCCACAAGGGAGGAAAAGGTGGAGTAGCTTGAATGGCTGCTGAAGTGTCAATGGGATGAAGGAAGCCAACCTAGATAGACACCAGAGGGGATGGCTTTCAAGAAAGACACATTTGGTTTAAACTCCTGATAGGACAAGGATGGAAAACAAAAGAAAATAGAGAGGAGGACAGAGTGAGGTAGAAAGAAGTACTAAAAGCTGTGGGAGAAACAAGAGTATTTATACCAAAAAAAAGAGAGAAACTTTGTAGAGTGGTAGAGCAGGCCATTATGCAGATAGCTAATCTCCTCTACAGGTGAGCTCAAAAAGATGCTGAAGCTGCCAACTTGCTCCTGAATGATTGTTTGTTGAGCAATCCAATCAGAAGCTACAGGCAAGCTGAATAGTGCATCTAAGCAAATTCGGGAAACTACAGCCAGACTGTCTTAATAACTCTACTTTGTGAAAAACAGAAGCTGAACAGAGGTAGGGATATCCAAGGTAGTAGTTCCAATCCAGAAGTGAAAGAGAGCAGGTACTCAAAATTGTGCTCCTGGAACTCTTTAGGGGCTACATTTCCTGTAAGCCTGTGACAGCGCACGCATATTTTACCATGTGCAGTTCACTACTTGTGTGTGAACACATAGCCACATGCCTCAGCACCCATTTGGTGGGAGTTGGTGGTATATCCTAGAAAGAATGCAGGTGCGTTTGCAAAGGTTCAATAAAATTCTGTCCCTGTGTATATGTTTGTCATTCAATATGTGTAGCTTGATACACTTTTCATGACATGCATGTTTTTAAAAATCAGCGCACACACTAAAAAAAAAAAAGGCATCAGATTAATTTTAAGGATCTGCTTCTCTTCAGTTTCTGTTGTTTCACACAGTGGAGTTTTTAAGACAGCGTATACGTGGTTTCCTGAAATTGTATTCTTCCTATCGCAGAATACAGACAGCATGCTCACATGATTCTTAAGAAATTGCTTCCATTTTAGCAAGCGGTTTCACATCTGTTAGTACTCTACAGACTCTCAGGGAAAACTTCCCTTAAAATGAAATTCAAGTATAAAATTCTCTCATCAAGGTTTTGCTTGTGTTTATTTAACTTCCAGTAGTTTGTCCCTCAAGGGTAATAAAAGCAAGAGGAACCCTAGTTTTTGGAATTTGTCAACATAAGAACAGAACAGGAAAAATCACATGTAGTCGTGTTTTACTCTTAACTACCACAGATGTGAAAAGCCAGAGAATCCCCTCATAGCTGTCATAGATGTAAAAGATATATAGAGGATGCTACAAAGCAGAATTAAATTAAGCATCAGTGGAATATACTGTGCATACAGTGGTTTGAGATAGGGGAAAAAATTCTTGAGTTTCATAGTACATTCCTTTTCTGTATATGAAACTATAACTAACTAGCAGAGAATCCATTACACTCCATTTCTTGAAATCCCTTCCTATTCCCACTGACTATCTTATAAAAAGTTCCATCTGACATTTGAGATTTGTTAAATTTTACCTTGCTTAGACTTTTTCTTTTTGTGCCATATTACAAAGGCAATGATCAGCAGAATTAATATGATGAGTAAGACTGCAGGGACGCCATATATTAAGGCTGGGTTAACACCTGCCATTTCTGTGTTATTATTGTTTTCATCTTTTGACTCAGTAGTTGCATTATTTCCTGTTTCAAATCCTAACTTGGGTGCTTCTGGTGTGGTCGAAGGTTTCAGATCAGAGTCAAGGGCAGCTGTAGAAAGCACGGTAGATCTCTCTGGACTAGGAGTTGTTATAACAGTGGATGATAATAGTGGACTGTCTCCTGAATGATCTTCTTCTGTTTCAGATTCTGCAAAACATATGTGAACATCTTAATATTTTCACCTGTTATTGGAACTTATAAAGAGTCAAAGCATATGGCTATAATATTTGCTCTTCATTTAACCTGCATCTGCCTTACTTACACACACGCTTGTAAGTCTTGGTATGTATATATAGAACTAGAATAGCATTGCAATTTTATGAGGAAAACTTACTTACCCAAACCAAATTCTGCTAGCTTGCATTTATTAAACACATAAACTTGTTCAACCCCCTTGCCTTTACAACCACATTTACACAACTGTTTTCAAGCAAATACACCTTCTTTTTTACACCCGTACCTGATCTTGCTGCACCCCTATTCTCTCACACACCAGATACCCTTATCACTTTGGCATTCAGTCATCAATTCTGACAGTCTTGGACTTGCCCTCTTTCATCCCTTCACCCTCTCAATCATTTACTAATCAGTCCATTATCCCTAGCTCACCAACTCTCTCCATGACCTTCCATGAAGTTCACCAGTGTCCCTATTTCCCTATTGCTCCCTCTGCAAAATGATCAGTTCTCTCAAATGTCTGAGGGCTGCAGGAATAGGGCTAAACCAGGACAGAGTAAAGCCCATAGAAATGTTGACTTTCACACCTGCTCTCCAACAACTGGTGAAGCCAAAACTGTAAAGGATTCCAAGAACACAGTTTAGTGGAGTGCTAAATACTTGTCTGCATGAGACTGCCCAGACTAAGTTTTTGCTCAAGTCAATTAATCTCAGTAATATGCTGGAGATGCTCAGAACCCCACATGACTGGAACTAGTCATACACCTAGAAGTTTACATGCTTTGTCAACACATTATTTTCAATAGTGCTCCTGTGAGATGAAAAATTATCGTGTCTATTTTACAAGCGAGGAATCGGAGAGGCAAAAAAAGTGATTTTCCCCTGAGATCTATGGTGAATCAGTGGGGAATCCGGGATTAGAATACTAAAGCCTCTTCTCATGCTTAATCCACTGGACAGTATTGCTTCTTCTTTCTGTTAACCTTTAATAAAAGTGAAAATGAGTATCTCACACAAGGAAATGACATTTTAAATCAGTATAGTGAATGTATTGTCTGAAGCTGCCACAACAATGTTTTATTGACATATTTATACCATACTCATCATGCTCATTCCTGGTTCTTTTATTCTTTGCTAGAAATCAGCACACATGAACAGATTAATATGGAAAAAGTCATTATGCCACCTCATTTTAAATATATTATTTTGTTAACTTCTCACTTTTCAAAATATTCTATACAAACATGGACTAGTCACTTAACTTTCTCCTTTGTTTCATGGCAGCTATGGCACATATTGACTTAAAGAAAAATGTAATTTCTGCATCCTTTTTAAGTAATACCATGTTATGGCATGGAGCAAAAGGGGACAGCAAACAGGGCATTTGGCAAGCAGTTCACTGGCGGTAAAGGAGGAAGAGGAAGAGGAAGAGGAACAAGGCAGCAGGCACTAGTTCCTGCTCTAGGAAGGTAAGTGAGTCAGGGCTGTCTGTGTGCTTGGCTTGCTGAGTGTTCATTTGGTGGTCTGAGTGTCTGGGCATGTGGTCTGACCAGCTGGAAGTGCTGCTAGCTGGATGATTTCTGCTTCCGTCTGACAAAAGCCCTAATAAGGGGGAGGACCCAGTTTAGGCCCAGAAAGGTATAAAAAGAGACTCCCAGAGGGTGGCTATACACATGCTTGGAGGAAGGGGAGGAGTTGTTTTAATTAGTGATTCCCACAAAGCTGATTTAATTAAAACACTGCAGTGTCACATCTATTAAGCCCCCACTCATTTAAAAATGGATTTTTTAACTAAAAAATTTTTTAACCACAGGATTTTTAACTAAAACTCATTCAATGTTAAAGCACTCCAGTGGCCATTATTAAACCTGTGGGGGCTTATATGTGTGATGCTGCAGCGATGCTAGAGTGTTCTAATTAGAATGCAGAACAGACTCAATTAGTCGAGTCTGCTCCAACATGTTCTAGTTAAAACACATCAGAGTATGTGGAGAGGCACCATGAGTGACCAGGGAGTGAGTAAACAGGCCAAGCAAACAGGGCAGTTTGCAAGCAGCTTTCAAGTTAGTTTGTGACTCCCCTCTTTGAAGGAGAGCCTTTAAAGTAAGCTATTTCCTTAAATAAGAGTAAATAATCTACATAAAAAATTAGCGTACATAGCTAAAACTCAGCAGTTAAAACAATGCCTAAACCTTTTGTTTAACTAGAGTCCAGAGTGAGTGGGGAGTTCTCAAGGAAGTTTGCCCAGAAACGCTCACCTTCCTTCACTGTAAGGTTGGTGAGAGGAAGCAGATTAGCAGGGAAAAGGGAAGCTTTCAGGACCAAGGAGCAGTGAACGGGCTAGTGTACAGGGGAGTTTGCTAGGGAAGGTGTTCTTGGAGAGAGGGACAGTGTGACAGGGCAGAGATGGTGCCCTGTCCCGAAGTGCAAAAAGGCAATGGAACTGTGGATGGGGAGTGTCCCACTTGCATGTTGAGAATGTCAATAAAGCATGTGAAGGAAGAGACTAGCTTTAACTGATTTTCGCTGGTTGCCCTGGAGGGAAGACATGAAACCACTGGAGAGGCTCAGAGGAAGTTAAAGTGCCAGGGCCAGGCAAGTGGCATTTCCCCAGAGAGGAGCTCGTGCAGCTGCACAGAGGCACAGCAATTACCCAACCCCAACCAGGGGTCAACAGGTCTGGCAGAAAAGGATCAGGAAGCAGTGAAACTTACCTGAGATTTGAGCCAGTCTATGAGTGTCATCCTGGAGGCCTGAAGAAAATCCATGTGGTGAGAGAGTCATTCCACGTCCATCACCTAGAAAGAAGAGGTGAAGAACCAGTTAAGGGGGTCTGCCCTATGACACTGGGTGTTCTCCCCTGCAACAGGGACAGAGCCCAGGGCTAGCCAGGGGATTGAGTAAGCTGGCTATGGTTCCCAATCAAGGCCCATCAATTAAGGCAGAACATAATTGAAGTTCTGGTGCAAAGAGAGCACAGGTGGTGGGAGGAAATCATGAACACGGGCAGAGAAGTATACTCCTGAGTTTACAATGGCAAGCAAGCCTAAGGATGGGCTTGGAGGGGAACTAGTTGGGGTATAAGCCCAAGTGTAGGGAACAGTTCACGATCCATGCAGCAGGTAACTTTTAAGCTCACCTGAGACTGTATTAGCGCATTAAGCACAGACTATAATTCAGAGATTGCACCCTGAACATCTGCTCTGGTAATGGCAGTGTATGGGATGGAAGAGCCCTGTGAAGAAGCCCAGTGACTGGAAATGCAGCAGTAAGAAACATCAGTTCGCCTCCTGATATTTACTTTTTCCCTTTGGATTTTCTTTAACATCAAAGGCATGGCAGGGGGGGGACCCCGGGCC